ACAGACAGACAGACAGACAGACAGACAGACAGACAGACAGACAGACAGACACACACACACACAGACACACAGACAGACACACTCTTCCAGCAACTCTCAGTCAATACAATTTAACACTCTCACTCAATTTAACACTCAAACACATTCACGCCCATCAATCAATAGATGGATCAATTGATAGATGTAAACATACCATCCAAGGAAATATATTTAACTTATCAACCTTCCCAGTGATGGAATCCTACTCTTTTAATTGAGCAGGATTACAACTTTGATGAATTATTAGTAAAACCAAAGTAATGCTGTTACAACAATATATTGCTTCATTCCCACCAGTGGAAATGTGCGGTGGTCTAATATTTCCCATGCTGATTAGACTCAGGAAAAGATCCTACCTTTGTGTTGAATTTGAAAGTTTTAATAATGGCTTCTTCTGTGTGCTGGAGAGTGTGGCTTCAGGGTGGGGCTTCCTGCTGTGCACTATACTGCTACAAGTACCCATTCACCGGCCCTGACTCACAGATGAACTTAAGTGAATTCCCATTCTTATTCCATAGGGTTCAGTGTGATGTGAGTCCACCCTGCGCAGCTACAGCTAGAGCTTGAACTCCTGTGGGAAGGCTGTCCACAAGGTTTAGGAGTGTGCTTATGGGACCCTCAGACAGGATGTTGGATGGACAGGCTCGGCTCTCAGTCTCCATAACAGAGAGAAGGCTCAGTTACTTATTCATTCAAAGGAGGAGGAAAACCCCAGTGAAACAGTCAGACTCACTCTGACTCTGTTAAGGACTTTCTGGACTTCAGGTCAGTGCAGATTTACCTGCTATAGTCTGTATTAAAAAATACCCCCCCCCCATAAGAACATTGTCCACTCTTATTAAAGTCTCTGATGCTGAAGCTCCAGTGCACATGGCCTGCCTGACTGATCACCCTTTCCTTTTTTAGAGTTTGTCTGGGTAACGCAGCCAGTGAGCAATTCCCCGACACGGTGTCTGCACCCCTGCAGGCCGGGGGGGCCAGCTGCCCTCAGCTCCGGGCTGCGTCGGTGGGAAAGAGGCAGGAGGCGTGTAGGGGTCAGAGGTTGAGCGAAGGAGAGCCAGAGTTACAGTGAAATGTTGAAGAAAATATAATAACCCAGAGCGAAAGCAGGGATTAAAGAGAGGACAATAATTCAGTCAAGACATTCAGATAATCATCCTGATTAGATGCTACTGGAGCGTGTTTGGGTTGACTAACAAGCTATTACGTCGTATGAGGGATCTTGTTTATGTCCAGGTGTTATTTACGGGCCTTTGTTAGTCCTGTGTAAACATCCACTAATTCATTATCTCAGGACATCATAAATAAACATAGCCAAAGTCAAGACAAACACAGGCTGCTTGCTTGAGCCAAAATTATTCTCGGAGCTGGCGTTGATAAAGAATGACTCAAAAACATTGTGACTGTGTCTGTCAGCCTCCCTGGCATCTCAACACAATCTACTGTCAGTGCTGGGGAAGGCTGCTGGCACCTCCCTTGTGCTCCTGGTGGCATTTGTCTGGGTTGTTGCAAGTCAAAAGATCGTCACACTCAAGACCACGTGGATTCAAGTGAACTTCGGGTTCAAGTCAAAGTCAGTTTATTGGGTATAATGCAAAATTAAACAGACAAGAATCTGACAGCAGATTCTGTTGGCCCTGTGAGTTTGGCTATAACTGCATGTTTAATGATATAAAATAGGGAAAGTCATAAGGTTGGGCACTGTTTTAAATGTTTATGCAATCAATCACAACTCGTACAGCACCAACTAGACAAAATATGAATGCCCTTCCAGTCCAGCAGTCCAATTAAATGATCAAGTCATAGGCCAAATGTAGCTCAAATGAAATGTGCTGTAACTCTTAAATTATGTAAGCATGTCCAAACCAAAGCAAACTAACAGTGGTGAGCATAACTCATCAAGCCCGGAGACTGTGGATGATGGAGACATATTGTTGATAAATCGCATAGCTGTAGCTCATAAACTGACCTCGGACCAAATAACCAATCTCATGTACATTGTATTAACCAAAACACTAAATGTAGAGTTAAGTACAGCTAATCTTTCTGCCATCAGCATTGAAAAACAAACAATAAAACAAAGACCCCAAAAAGACCCTGTTAGAGAATCAATAATGACCAAGTTTATGCAAAGGAATACATTTTGTTTCGTAATAGCAGTGTTTAAAGGAGTATTTCTCAATCTTCATCCAATGTTTCCCACAACAGTGATGCCTTTTTGCTTGGTGATAATATTCAGAACCAGTTACCTCAGCAGAAGTGCAGGGCTCTTCCATAAGCCACCACGTTCACCAGGTTTTAATAACAGACACAGCCGTTGTGTTTTGGTGCAGCCAGTAAAGAACCACTTCCCTTTGACACTTAGTGGTACTGTCAAATAAAAGTGCTTAATTTAATCTTATGTTCTGAAGAGAACTAGATGTTAAGATCCCATTTCCCCTGTCTTAGCTTCTTTTCTCTGAAATGAAGAATATCATTTAAGGCCCTGCTCCTCAGATTTAAAGACCAAACTATAACCACAGTCAACCAAGCCCATTCACTCTCTCACACAAGCAGAAAAAGACAGGATTTTGTCTCGATTTTGCTCAACCTTAATCCATAGTGATTCATTCATGTACGCTACCCATGAAACGATAGAAGGGCTTATTCAGTCAAACGTAATCAACACAATCAATCATTCAGTGCACGCAAACATAGGGAAAAATCATCTGCTCCAGTCAAATAGTTTCCTAGCTGAGGCCGTCTATGCAAACTGCTGTGCAAGCTGCATGGCTTCAGTCAATACCTGGGGCTTATTTGTTAACAAATCAAATCAAGCTGATGGTTTCTGTGTACGTTCACATAAAAAAAGTGACAGCTCGGACCCTGCCTGCTTCAGCCATAAGGGGTTACATAAAGACCCGCCCAACATCCCTGAAAACCTGTGGGGGGTGGCCCTCATCAGAGTCCACGGCCTTTGTGCGTGGCACTTTCTGTACTGATCAGCGCTCACATTGTCTGCAGATTCCTGATGTGGCAAATAACAATGCAGAGAGGTACAATGTGTTGCATAGTGAGAGGTGAAAGGAATGATAGCATGCAAGAGCGGAGAGCTCACTGGCTGAAATGAATTCTTCTGATAGCTGCATTAAACACTTAGAGTGGTGAAAAGCTGGAAGAATGAAATGAGCTGGAAGAAAAGCAGATTCAGATACTTCTGACAGACAGAGCTCAAGTCAAAGCACTTTAACATACAACTGCTTCAGAAAGGTTGGGGAAGTTTTGTATCAATGTAAACATGAAAGACGATACAACGATGTGTGAATCTCACAGCATTTTATCCTTAAATTAAAATATAAGCAGCAGCAAATGTTAGCAAAGTTGGGACAGGCTCTTGTTTCTAACTGTGGCACCTAATTCTTTTCCCACAACATTCTGAATGTGTAGGGATGGAGACCACTCGCCTCTCCTTTGGGAGAGAAATGCTGTGGTGGAGACAGGCCTGGGCTGCAGACATGGTCAGCATTATATTACAGCACTGTGTCAGGTTTGCCCAGGAAAAAAAACACACTGAAGAAAGGAAACGTTGCTCTAAAATCAGCACATAGGACATTTTTGTGTTGTGGGACAATGTACCACGTCTAGAGGTACTAATGCACCACAATACTGTAAGACACACAGGCTTTGGAACGCCAATATAAAGCTGACTGGTGCGGCTTCTTATTAGACATGCAGCCTCAGTTATTTCCAAAAGGAATTTCAGATGTGTATTTGTCAGACAACAGAAGAGTTTTTCCCTCTGACTCAGATTTGAAATGGCGTGACCACAGGGGGATCGTTTGGACCTGGCTCATGCTCTCTTATGGTCTCTACTTTGCATTGTTGAGCTTTAACTTGAATTTGCAGATGGCATGATGATCTGTGTTCACAGCCAATGTTTTCTAAAAGAATGCAGTTATTTCCATATCAAAATCCTGATGAAAATAATGCATATCCAAAACTGTTCTCCAACAATGACTCTTGAACACAAATGTACCCTTAGCTATGATGGTAATGCTATTCAGTACCACAGATTGTGAAAAATGCCACGTCTATGCATTTCACAATGAAAAGTATCATTCTCAAATTGCTCCACAAATAGTAGACAATTTTTGTAATTATCTCTTTGTGTCTCTTTCAATTTCTCGTCATAATATCCGATGCCAATAATCGTAATGTTCCTTCATCTGGTTCTTTTAAAGACCATGTATTTACAGACATTTTCTGTTCCCATACAAACTTTTCTACCAAACAATATAAGTGAACTTTTCTTTTTTGTCAGAATAAAGAAATCTGTCTCGTTCAACATTTAATATTCCTTCTGTGTTCTATAATGGATGCAATGTTTGACGAGAAGAATTGCAAATCATTGCATTTTTATCTACAGTTTTCACAGGAGCCCAAATTCTTTTCAATTATTGTTTTTTTTCTTGACTTCTTTCACATGAATAGTGGCCAGAAATGACGAAGTGTGACGCACAACTCTGACAAAAGTGCATGCAGAATGATTCTTCAGCTGCAAAGCTTCTCGTGTTCTAATTGTGCTTCTAATAACCTTAATCTCCCACTGGTACAATCTCCCCATCTTCCATGGAGTCATTTTTTTTTCTTTTAACATCCAATAATTAAAATGAGCACAGGCGCCTCAAAGCAGGGGGGCTCCTGGCTGGATTCCCCTGAGGACCAGAACCTTTCTGTGTGGAGTTTACATGTTCTCCCTGTGTCTGTGGGTTCTCTCCAAGTGCTCAGTTTTCCTCCCACCGTCCAAAAACATGCTAGGTTTTTTGGACACTCTAAACTACTTCTAGAGTGAATGTGAGTGTGCGTGGTTGTGTGTCTCTGTAATGGACTGCGGACCTGTCCAGGGCTGACCCCACCTCTGGTCCAGCTGGGACAGGCTGCAGTCCCCTGACCTAACTGGGAATGAGCGGTACAGTGATCCCTCTCTTATGGCGGTGGTTGTGTTCCAGGACCACCCGCGATAAGTGAAAAACCGCAAAGTAGCGATGCTTTATTTACTTGAATATTTATACATTATTTTAGTAGTTGCACTATTTTAAGTTTTTAAAAGCCCTCCCCACACACTTATACCCCAAATATCACTTTCCCACTGGACCTGGTTCTTTTAAAACACTCCTTGAATGTTCATTTAGCGTTCTCTGGTTGGTCGTTTCCACCACTCAACCAATCAGGTGCTGTGTAAAATCTGAGGTCAACATGCAGCAGCTCAGGAGGCCTCTGTGTTCAAACGCAGGGTTAAAGCCTCACTTACTCACTACTGGACTGGATTCTGTTAGTTTTAGAGTGAAATATTCGTAATATATTTTTATACATTTTGTGCCCTTCAATACAAAATTTGTCAATTATTTAGATTACTGTTTAATGGCAAAAACTATAATGAAGCAAAAATACAGAGGTAAAATTTTACTATCTATTAAAAATAACACAAAAAAAGCGATGCCGCAAAATTTTAACCACGAAGTAACGAGGGATCACTGTATGGAAAATGGATTCAAATTTCCAAATGTTCCAGAAACACTGATAACATACGATATAACGCAGGAATAAGCAAAGATTAAAAACATTATTTTGGAGCGCAATATTCTGTAGCATTCACATTTTCATATTTATAAACAATAATGGATTATTTTACTTTTGACTTAATGCTCTGGACACCTCCGGTGCACAACTGGACGATTCAGCCACTTCTTGGAGGATAAACAGTGACTAATGATAACCTTCCACCTTCATTCTGGGTGTTTATTATCACCTATATAACTTTATTCTTATGTTTGTTTCAGAGCCTTTTCTGTCTCACAGAGCAAGTAAAATCTGTTTTGAAAACGTTTGTCTTCTTTTGTCAGTCAGATTAAGTCTGTATCTTTGCCTTGATGTGTGAAATAGATTCATGTGGCATGACATACACGATAACCTCATAGCTCAAAATGACTTGAGTGGTTTGTTCTGCATGCTGCATTTTTGCTTTGTACCTGAGGCAGAGCATCTAATTGGACCAAAACAAGCAGCTACCCGTAAAATCCTGGATAACAGAGCGGAGCCTGGAAGACTAATATGGCAGACTGCAGAGCTCTATGCACTTTAGATAATGAGTCCTGTGGTAATCATATACAAAAATAAGATATCCGAAATACGTTCTGTTCTACACTGAAAGCTTTCTGGCTCTGCTGCTTTCACCAGAGGGTTCAGAAGAAAGGAAATGAAGAGCACAGCTCTCAGTTTCCTCCTGTGAACAAACTGTTACATGTTATGTAAAACATTTTCTGTTTTTTTCGGATGTCTATATTGTTAATCCTATTTTTCAGTGCAGACAAAAGATTCACTGATGTCGCGCTTTCTTTGACTGATCGTTATTTACCAAATTAATTCTCAGAATCATTAACATAAACATTACCTCTTGTTCCGATTCTGCTGACACCGTTTCTAGCCATTAAAATAGGATTGCTGGCATCCCTGTGTCTTATCCAGTTACTGCTGGTTTCTGGCTACAGAGAGCAGGATTGCAGGGGTTTTATTTATCATATTTTGTTGTGAATGTTATAAGCACAGCTATTCTGACACTGATGAAATGAGCCCGTCAGAAAGTTTGATAAGAACTGGAACAGGTGACCAGATCACTTCATGAAAAAATCAAACCATGCCAAGTAAGTTCACACGATGTTTCTTCTGATCAATAATCTCTTATTCATAGTTTGGGTGTTATTACAACTTTAACTTTCTCGATAATTCTATCATCCTCTATTTGACTCTTTTGATCCAGTGGTCCTGAAAATGACTCGACAAAAAGAAAAGAAAACCTGCAACTGAACCAGGTTTTAGAAACATTTACTTTTCTGTTGTAAACTGAAATGTAATAACTTTTATTTGTAATTTTTTATTAGTTCTGAATGTATTTTTAGGCTCAAGTACAAAAAAAGATGCATTTCCTCCCATTCTGTCACATTTTCTTTACTGACAGCAGGGCTGCATTTTCTTTATTGCTGCTGCTTTTTTTTTTTCTTTTTACACGCTCAAAATAACAGACCCACATTTTCCTGTCTGCCTTCTGAACATATCATCTGATAGCCTGGGTTGCTGTGTTTAGTGCTCCGTGTTTATTGCCTCTGTGTTTTAGACATCAAGGAAATTCTGCCACAGACTCTCTTGTGGACCTCCTCTCTTCTCTGGAGCTTTATCCCAGCCATCTGCTGATCTGCCACCAGCTGCATTTGGACTTCCTAACATTTGCTATTAGTTAAGGAAAAGTGTCAGTAATAAAACCTGTGTAGCATGGCGGTGTTTAACTTCTTTCTTAGGCTGGCGGTGTGGTGAATGCGTGGCGCGGCGTGGCGTGGGGGGGGGGGCTTACCTCCGGTCGGGCAGGATGGGGACCCTCCAGCCTCTGATGAAGCTCAGATTGTTGTCGGAAAGCTCCACTTGCAAAGGAAGCTTGGGAACCCAGACGGTGAGCTCCAGGGGCGCGCTCAGGTGCTCGTAGCTGAAAATGACCCGGGCGTTCATGGAGCCTCGGGTCTCCTTCCCATTCACAAACACGTAGTCACAATTCATGGATACCTGGGAAGGATCATGTTCAGGAGTCAGAGACCATCGTTATGATGGAAGTCATGTACATAGTGGCTAATATAGCATAAAGAAGAATATATGACACTATGCAGAAACACCTTAAACAGTTGACAATTTAAGTGACAAAACCACAAAAGGACATTGTGCACCAAGATGTGTTTGGCAGGGAAAATTGACAAATTAGGGCTTCCAAGTAAGTCAACGTTTGTTAAGCTTGTCCATGTGCATGTGAAATTAGGCAGTCAAATCATGTCCCGACCCCACAACCTCTCTCGCACACTGGAATCATTATGATCTATGAAAAATGACATGTAATGTGACAAGAAAAGCTTTTAGGCAAACATGTCATTCAGCTGACATTTCACATGAACTTTGCTCATACCACCTTAGGCTCATAAATAAACATATCCACACATTTCACCTTTCACAGGCAGTCTTGTAATGTGATATCATCTGTGACACAACCATGGCCCGGAATTCACTATATGGACTTTTCTAAATTTAACTTAATACCATTCTTTAGCTTTTCTATCTCTCCAAAAATCTCCAGCTCCATTTGAATTATCATAAATACTTGTTACTCTCTAGCACTAAATTATTAACTGCAACGGATCTGGTGGGCTTTGCTTTTGGGCTCCCACTGAAGATTTATCTGGTGTTGGGAGGTAGGTGGCATTGTAATCAGAGGATCTAATCTCCCGCAAATGGAGGTCGAGCTGGCCAGTCTTCTCAGGGCTGAAGATTCATCATATCTGGGAGGAGGTCTGGGTAATATAATTCCCCACATGCAGACAGGCAAGGGAGGGTGGTGGAAGGACTTAAGACGACTATTTTTCCCTCCGGTTTGATTAATGCAATTTTTCAGGTTGACCTCATGAGCTCCAACAAAGTTCGGTGTTTGTGTGTTATTGTATTGCTTGCCGACTTGTGATCTTATCGTTACGATCTGAGTTACAGGAGGAAAATCCGAAACTCAACACAACATCTCCAGTCACCTTTTATCGATCGCAGCAGGGCCGGCTGAACGTGGGGCTGTCAACGTGTGCCTCCTGCTATCCTACCGGCTCAGTCACACAGGAGAACGCGCCCCCTTCAGCTCCTGCAGCTTCTGCTGATGATAAACTTGGCTGGCTAATTGCAAGTCAAAAGCTGTTAGCGACCGTGGGTATCAGTGGTCCTGTGGGGACTGGCTGGGGAGGGCTTTCACACACTGAGCCACCACATGCCATCACACTGCTGCTAATGTGCTGTGGCACATTCCGTGGTGCCAGCAGATTGCCTGGGAGGAGACCGATCATCAAGACATGTGTAAACGCTGCCTGACTTTGACCGTGCGCTCATCCCGTAGTGCGGAATGAGAGACCGGTTGAGTTAATGAAAATTAGGTCACATTTCATGCATATCTGGTAGTAATGCATAAATTAGAGTAAAGCATTACTGGTATTTAAATCAAGCATTACTGGTATATAAATGTCATGTGCCAACCCGTATAGTACGACTCAACCAAATCCTTTGTTCATTCACACTCTGTGGAAATGGCACTTCAACGCACTTGAATTTGATGTCATCCATGCTGTTACTTTTAACAGTTTTGTCAGTGTTTTTCGAGGATTCTTTCTCAGCCAGAGCAGTGAGGATCTACATGAACCAAGCTGACTGGTTCACACCAACTCATTTCTCTCGTACACAAACACTTTACTCTTGTTCCAAAAACTGAATCGTAAATATTCAATTCAAAACTGTACTCAAAATGTATTTAGATGGCACGGTAAAACAAGCTCAGCTGAACCAAGTGCTTCACAATAGAAACAAATGATCCACCGATAAAAAAGCAAAAAAAACAAACAAACGACTGCATCATAGATAAAATGGTAAATATAAATGAATAAACTAAATTCAAAGAAGATAAAATCCTTTCCAGTTAGGGATTGAAAGCCGGGGAGAAGAAAAGCCTTTTCAGCCTGGATAGGAGCTGACCCGAAGATTGAGAGGAGCTGACAGACTCGGGGGGGCGGCTACACGGTCCGGGCGCTGCCCAGAGAGAGCTCCATCACCTCTGGTCAGCAGCCGGCTCCAGCCAGCAGCTGTCCGGCTGACCTCACATCTCTCAGAGAACCGTAGGCTGCAACAACTCACTTAGATAGGCCCACATAGCTTTAACACTTAAAAAACAAACAATAACACCTTAAATCTCACTGGAACGTCGACAGGGAGCCAATGGAGGGTGCAAAAAACAGGGAGGATGGATTTACCTCTCTTTGTTCCACTCAGCTGGGGGGCAGACGGTGCAGGGAGCCCTAGTCCAACCCGATACCAAGAATTACAGTCATCCAAACACTATCTTACAAAAGCATTGACTGCTCTCTAAAAGTCAGCCTGAGGAAGATGGGATGTAATCTTTGGAAGAGTCCTCAGCTGGAAGAAGCTGGCCTTGATGACAGCACCCATGTGCTTATCAAACTTAGACAAAGAGTCAGCCACCACTCCCGGATTGCTACAAAAGGACTGCAGCAGGAGGAAAGAGCCATCACTCTGCCGTGTCCATGCAGGGGATTATTTTGTCCAAACATCAGGATCTGAGTTTTATTCTATTTAAGCTCAGAAAGTTCAATCTCCCCCATTTCTGTGCAGCCCTGCAGCACCGTGACTGCTGATTGGCTGTCACCGGCGGTCACAGGTAGATAAAAAGTGAACATCATCTGCAAAGCAGATGCTTTTTGGAAATGAGACCCAAGGGGAGCGTGTGGAGGGCAAAGAGACCAGCCGCTAGTGTGGCCACTGGGGCAGGTCCTAACTCAGAGGCCACAGAGAGAAGGAGGGCTGTCTTACAATTCCGGAAAAAATTTTGAAAGAGAAATGAGACTGACAGCAATGGAGGGCTGTGCCTTTGTGAAAAAGCTTTGGAAATGACGTTACATCCACTGGTTAAAAGAGGGGATTTTTGAGAAGCAAAGCACAATGATTAAAAGGTATGGTAGATCCAAATCTCTTTAATTTATCTTGAAATGTGTTTTATTGTATTGTATTAGAAATGCGAAAATAGGAAAAAATGCCAATCTTTTCATGAATCTTTGATTTTCGCAGCCTTTTATATGTTACAAAACAATAAATACATTTGACGGTTTCGGTACAAAACGTGGCTCAAAAACACAAAAATGTCAGAAACGCATTGAAATTTTAGCTGGACCAATAGCCACAAAGCTAAAACAATGTGGCACGATAAACGATTGGGTGAAAGTATGTGCAGAGTGTAGAATCCAGCTGTCTCGATTTTGTGCAATTCCGACACCAGGGGAACAGATCAGTTCAGAGGAACAGAATAGTATATTAAAAAAATAAAGAAGTAACTCCTGTGCTACATTGTTAACACTAAAAAATGGAGAGAGTGTACACGAACACATAAAAAAAACTGGAGCCATCCTTACTGAGTTTGCATATTCAAGTATTTCCAAACAAAACTGAAAACTATCCTGGATTTTATTTCCAATTTAAATTTAGCATGGAATTAATGTCCATGACGTTCTGCCAAACGCAGACTCCAGCTGTGGATAATGCAGGTGCTGAATCAGCCTGACGGGGGGCGGACATACGCTTAGCTGGTCCGGGACTGGGACTTGAGGTGGACTATGAAATTTTCCTGCATGTGATGAATGTTTGCTTCCTTCAAGAGCAGTGCAACAAATGAGTTCATTTAGCTCTCTTAGCTAAATGAGCCAGCCCCCATTAGCCTGTTGTTGGCAGGACTGATGATGATGAGAGAAAATGTATCTGTTGTTCTGGGAACGGATGTCTTGGCGCTCTGTTTTGATGTAATTCAGCATCGCTGTAATTTGATGGTAAGGAAGCCTTTCATGTCAATTTTAGGCTTCATTAACTAATATGCTGGAGAAACTAAAAGGGAAATGTGAAAGGGTATCTTCAGTGGTATTGAAAGCCTGACTCCTGAACCAAATGGTTATTTTATTTTCCTACCACTCAAAACTGTGGACACACCCACTCATTGAATATGTATGAGAAAAGTGTGTCCAAACTTTTTATTGGTACTAAAACCAACTTGTTTTCATAAACCATAAACCAAATCCTAAACCAAACCAAGTACAGTTGATTTCCCAGTCTAAGACAGCAAAGCCTTTTAAACTAGATGGTTCATATCACAGAACTACATTGGAAATTTGCAAAAACCAGCATTTGCAATTTGGGGCATCCCCGTTAAAAATGCATGAGAATGACAGAAGCAACTCTCAATAACAGAGAGTTAAATCAAAGTAGTCAAAGAGGGCTACTTCATGCATAGAGGCCGTGTGTCACACCCAAAGTCTGCAGGCTGATCTTAACATTTGTGCTTTATTCCTTTAAAATACATGGATTAAAAAGATTGTTGAATTTGGTGTTTTCCTAATCTGAACTGATTTCAATTTATTTACAGACATGACTTTTTAAAAGCATTGACACAATTACACTATTCAAGAGGGGATGTGTTTTGACACGTACTGCATTTTCAAAGCTCATTTTTACTTGGGTAAGCTCATCGTTTACATGTCAGTAATGTATGTCTTCTATTAAATACCAAATTTGACTTCACAACAAATGTGGAAGTGAAGAATGCAGAAAAGGTACAATGTATGTACGGGAAACTATGGGCAGGAGATGTGATTTGCCTTATCTTCCTCTGCTTCTGATAAGTCAGGAGCCACAACGCCACGGGGGACTTTGATAAGTGGGGAATGGTCTGTAATCCCCACTGGCAGACAAATGCTCCTTTTCTCCAAACACACTCCGTCATACTCTTATTTACTGCACCTCGCTAGAGACGTATAGACACAAAAGAACAGTTTTGCAAGATTGGCTTATATTTCAAAGGTTCCTCACGCGTAATGCAGTTTAGTTAGTGGGAAGAGCTACATAAAAATGTTAAAGGAAAAAAAGACAGTCCACCCCCCACATTAGATTTTACCTGAGGAGTTAGAGAATAACAACATACAAAAGCCTTGAAGTTGGCAAGTCTCCAAATGGAAATACTAGGTAAAAAACAAAAAAATAAATTATTGAAAGTTGTTTTTAGTAGAATAGAAACAGACTTTGTTGTCCCACAAAGGGGGAATTCATGTGCAGGAGCAAGAGATACAAAGGCTGACACAAAAAAGCTCTTAAATTTCATAACTAATGTATAAAGATATAAGGTTCACAATAATAATAATAATAATGATAATAGTAGTAGTAATAATATCCTGTATGGCACAGAGTACTGTGTCGTTATTAGAAATAGAAATAGGCATATCTGACTCTAAATTCAATGGAAGTGCAACTGAGTCGGGTCAAATAAAAAAAAAACCATACATATTGTACATGTGTATTGAACATCAAAAAGAATTTTGTATTAATTATAGTGCGAGTTGAAGGTGTAAGCCACTAGATTAGAAGGAGATCTGACAAGATTTAAAAGAGCTTCTTACTGAATGTATTTTGCACCAATCACCTGGGCTTCTCTCCAAAAGGAGGAAGACATCCACGGAAAAGGTGATTAGAACAGACTGATAGTAAGTGAGAGGGAGAAATGTAAGTGTGGCACAAACAGCAAAACAATGGACTATTAAACATCTAGCCGGCTCATTTGCCCATTCTGGGGGTCGTTTTATTGAACTGTCATGACTCATGTACTTCCAGGGCTTGAAGGGCTCATTTTAAATTAGCCGAGAACGTTCGATGGCAGGGTCGGTGAAGCAAGCCCACTCAATATCTCACGGTCCAGCAGCTCCTCTCCTATCATTTATCTGAAAAATGATAAATGATGCGCTGAGGCCATCCCAGTGCACCACCTGTTCTCCTCCACCCACAGCCCAGTGCACCACCTGTTCTCCTCCACCCACAGCCCAGTGCACCACCTGTTCTCCTCCACCCACAGCCCAGTGCACCACCTGTTCTCCTCCACCCACAGCCCAGTGCACCACCTGTTCTCCTCCACCCACAGCCCAGTGCACCACCTGTTCTCCTCCACCCACAGCCCAGTGCAACACCTGTTCTCCTCCACCCACAGCCCAGTGCCACACCTGTTCTCCTCCACCCACAGCCCAGTGCAACACCTGTTCTCCTCCACCCACAGCCCAGTGCCACACCTTTTCTCCTCCACCCACAGCCCAGTGCAACGTGGCACCACTGGAACCCGCCCACCACCAGAAAGGAAATCCATACAGAAAAGCACTCATCTGATCTCTTCTATAAGTCTGATTTGTAATTTATTCATCCTTCAAGTGTGTATGTTATCAACTGGTCCAAACCAGAGAGCTAGATTGTATATGAAATGTGGTGGAGCAAATGAGCCAAAGCCTGCCAGACAGACAGAGCTGGTCAGAGGTTTACACACACCCTCACATGGATTTCATGCATGTGTAGATGTGTGCACATCTGGCTACATAGCAGTTAGCATAAGCTGATGACTTTCTGACACTGGCCTGTAAAATCTGCCGTCAAACCAGAAGAGCTTCAAGAGATGCCAACCCCTCCAAAGAGATTCCATTAGTCCATCTTCATTTGATAGTTTATAGATTTTCTGCAGTCTTTAAATAGAAGAAATGAGTGAGGTGAGACTGTAAGATTTCAGTGAGTGGAGGACAATAAGAGCCTAACGAGTTCAAACTGATTAGACTGTGACCTCCCAGTCACTGATGAATGTTTTCATCAGACTCTGTGTATCATGAGCTACTCTGTTTTGGAGCCAGAGTTTGAAAAATATGATGCAGCAGAAAATGACTCCTCCATCAAAGAAGAAGTTGGAAGCTTGAATGAACATAATTTTTTGGGTTATATTTTAGAAAACCATGCATCCACCAGAAGCAGCAATGAAAGAGGCGGATAGTCCGAGTTAAATGGGGTTCCTCTGGGGGCTTTGAATGCAAAAATCAGCACTACATGAAAACAACGACTAAGAGCCAGAGGGAACTTCTCACCAGTGTGAATCACTGCCTCTTCCACAGTTGTGGTTTCTAACATGCAGATGCATGACAGCCTCCTATGCAGGAAGGAGTCCACCGCCTTTTTAAAGAGAAGAAGTTTGGTTTCAAGCCCAGTGTTAGAGACTTGAACTGATATCAGTTTTCAAGGCGTGGAACATGGAAACCTGCTGATCATTTTGAATTATTTAGAAAAAAAGACTTGTTTCTAAAAGAAAAAATATGAAGGACTGTGTGAAAAAAAAGAATAAAACAAGTCTTATTCAGGATAAAAAAAAGGTTTCTTTATGCATATGAAATTATTAATAAATTAAATATATTTTTTATATTTTGGATTTACACAAATCTCTTTATCCAGATTGTACAGATTTCCACCACACTTGGTGAGACAGCGCCTGTGTAACAGCTAATGTGTGCAATGCTAGAATCTCATTGTGTCGGTCAGTCCCAAATAGTTTGTTTTCTCATCTTTTTTCTCCAACTCTGAAAAATCAAATAGCAGTAATTACTTTTTAAACAAGTCTAGGAAATTATTAATACGTTCAAAATGAACGCATTCTGTTCTGGTCACTTTCAGAAAGAAATACACTTTTTTTCCCACATGTCCCTTTGAAGTCTGATTTCACATGACATCTTCATTTTCAAGATATTTGACGCATTTTTAGATTAAAACCTCATTTACACATTTTTGTTTTAACTTATATTCAACAGACAGGACAAGTAAATAAAGCCTTTTATGTTCTTTTGTACTGAACGTCATTGTTTTTGACAGTGTCGTGAAATGTATTTTCTGTGGCATCTGGAGGCTGTTGGTGACAGGTGGGACAGGTAAGGGTGTCGGAACTGGTGCAAAAGGAGAAGTCATCAAAGGCTTTGGCTCTCCAGGAGAGAGGACTTTGATGTTGTGACACGTACAGGGCGCGGCCCTCAATGGAGAGGAGGAAAACCTCAGGGTGTAGAGGCCATGAGAAACTTGTCATGTTTTAAATATATTGACACGTTTTTTCTCTGACAATTTATAAGATTGATTTACAAGATCATATGCAGACTGCACTGTTGTACATCTAAATATAAGAGCCATTATTCACCATTGACCTCTCCCATCTTACAGGTACTTTCATTAGTGTCAGCACTAAGACAACACTGACACAAAACGTTTGGGCCCAAATATTCATGTAGAAACAATCGAGTATGACTGATTTACTGACCAGTTTGACGGGAAATACAACTGCTTACTGTGCTCTGAAAGCTGTTTTGATACCCATCTAATATTTATTTAATTATCAAATGACACATGATACTTTTTACCCAATTAGGATGAGCATACAGAGTTCTGGATGTTCTTCAACCTGGTGGGATACTTTCCTGCTTATGTACGCTTGAGAGAAGCAGGGGATCAAACAAGCATCCTATGGAGCTTTTTCTGTCTGTGTAAATCTTGTTGACACATTTGTAGGAACTTATTTAGGGCCACTGACCACTGTAGCCACACACATAAGAATTTAATCAGGAGTACATATGAAAAAGTACAAAAATGTGTTCCTAATTTCCTCTGATGGGGTGCCTGTGGTGCTGTGGAGAGCTAAAGGGATTACGTTAACTATAATACATGTTCCCCTTCTGGGCACAGGGTTTGAGGGAATGTGGTTTGCTGTACCTTCAGAATGTCTTCATTGGAGGACTTGCACTGCACAAAGGCCGACACGTCGGTGACGGCCCCGTTCATCTCTATGGAGACCATTTTGACAGGAATGGCCACGGTGCGTCCGGTGAGGATGGCTGTGTTTATGATCTCAGTGTCCTGGAGACAGAAAAACAAACATGGTATCCATGAAACAGTGAAAGGAAGAGGGTGATTTTCTTTGTTATTTCAGCAGCATTAAAACAGTAATGCATTAAAACCCATTACCATCCCAGTGCCTGTTCCAACTTTGTGACACTACGTGTCAAACCAGGCTAATTTATTCATACAAATTTCTTCTATTGGGTTTTATCAGATGATATTATACCTTTTTGTGCACTTTTTTCCATTGAGTGTGTAGAAACCATTTCAATTAGGGTGAAGATGATTGAAGAGTAATAATATTAACATGAAATCATTAAGGAAAGTAATTTATGATAATTCCTTTAGGTTTATATTTAATTAGAAAAAAAGGAAGATATTAACTGCACTGTGAATAAAGTTTTAAAGTTTCTACCATTTCAGTTTGGACTTTTACTGTCAAATCCGTCAAGTGCTTCATCTCCCTGATTTCTGTTCATAAACCAGGAGGATGTGCTGGGCTCGTGATGACATTCACGAGAGGATTGTAAACAAATCAAGCAATTAAAAAACACATTTAAAAGAAAATGATCATTATGTTCATGGAATTACAAAATGTTATTAGAGAATATATACAGAATGGATTTGAAAGATTTGAAAAATACAGGATAACAATTAACCTTGACCCTTAGAATAGGACATAAATGAACACAGTACATTAACTAAATGAAAACGGTATGTTTCAAGGTCCAGCAGCTCGGCACACAGCACCGAGACCTTGTTCGCCCCCAAGATGGTTGAAGTGCTTTTGACCATGAACAGCGTACAGTGAGCACAATGAAAGATGGAAGGAAAGATTAACAAAAGCAATGAAGGGAAAGTGTGGACTTATGGACTGTTGACGAGCAGCAGCTCCCAATAAAAGCTGACATTGGTCCTTGAAAAAGAAAGTAAATTCCTGAAAATCTAATCTATATTCAAGATTTAAGTGTAATTTAATTTTAATAGCATCAACAGGCCTGTGATTCGTTCATGAAAACATCATAAACTAGGAAATATCTATACATAAATTTGTTTGACAAATACTCGTTTATGCCTTAATTTTCATCTTCTGTACACCATGAGGAGATAAAAAGGATTACTTAGTTAAACTAGTTGAAGAACTGTAAGAAAATGACCAAACAATGCAAGCATTTGCTTCCAGTTACAGTAGGACATATTAAGCCTATTAAAATAGAAACCAATGATTTGTTTTTTTTGACAGTGTAATTACAAGTAATTTTCTCATTTATGATGCAAAAGTATCCCAAGAGACAGACACCATGAAAGTCCGACCAAATTAAAAATAGTACATTCAAATTTCTGCCCGAATCTCGTCTTTCAGCTTTAATGAAGGCCGTACAGCATGAGACTGTTTCTCATCACGAGTTCTTTCTAAACTGAAAAGCTTAGAATGGTTTGGTAATCGAGGGAATATTATGCTCCAAACTCAGCAGGAAGTTTTGTCAAGGCAATCATTCTGCATAGTTTAACACATAAAACAAACAATATACAATACTTTTATCTTTCATTTTTCTAAATCCTTGGGTTCATTTCTCTTTATCTAAACTGGTGATTTATGTCTACAGCATATAATTGCATCCATTATATCTGCAAACTTTTGATGTAGTTGCACAGCCTTCTTTCTTACAATACTGGAAAGGAATCTTTCCACCTGTAGATGGACAACTGGTTTGCAACAGCAACAGCTTTATCAACTAAATCATCAGGACATACTCAATAAGCCCCACTAGTTACTGTTATTTAAAACAAAGTCAACAGAGTAGAATCTATCTGAAACTAAATATACCATTCACTGGTTTGTGTGCCAGGTGCCAAACAAGAAAATAAATCTTTGTAGTTGTCTTTTTTTATTTTTCTTCTGGTTTGGTGTGGACAATTTCCAAGAAGCAAAGCACAGTGGACCATGTGGATAATTGATTGGACTCGGGAGTAAAATCCAAATTGAAAGACATCATCTGAAAGCTCCCCTTGCTGTTTTGGCATCTGCCGTGCACGCTCTTAACGGGACACTTTACGATTAATTGTGTGCAGCTTTGGGAGTTCTAATTATGCCAACTTGAATTCATCTTGGAATGAAAACCACCATCAGTGCAAACAGGTATCATTATAGGAAATGACTGTTCTGTAAAAGAGGAAAAACTCTTATTAGATCCAGAGTTTAATGACACAGAGATGTTGCATTCCTGGTGGCAAACTGGCGTGCACAGCATCTGTATGAGGGCCTGTGAAAAGGGAGAAAACTGTTTGAAATGTGACACTTTGTTTTCCTTAGTAACTACCTTTACAAAAAGACAATAGAGCATTTCATCATGGTAACTCATTCTCACTTTCTTTTTCTTTTACAAATCATACCCTTTCAGTTTAAATAGTTTAAAGATCCGGTCTGCATGTAGTTATAACCTTGTTAAACATTACTCAAATTATTTGTGATTTTAATATTTGAAGCTTGGAAAGACAAAACTATTTTTTTCCTAACTTCTGGCAGTGGGGGCTCTGAGAGGGTAATGGCGTGGGGAGTGTTGTAGGGCTGTTATCAACTGTTCTGCATCAGCTGCCCTGCTTTCCTGCTTGTTCAGCTATCTTCTGAAAGTAATAAAACCTTCTTTTAACTCAGCGGTTCGGTGTTAATGGTGGTCTAACCCACTGGGTTGATAGAACCACGCCATCTTGGGACTCTTCTTCTTGGATGTCTGATTCCCCCGACTATAAAAGTCCTTCTTTCCTTCTGCTCCCTCTCCCTGTTCACACGTTCTTGGGTCCAAATCAAACGGCGGGGTTCCACTTGAGACATCCACCCGTGTTGCTTTGCAACATAAAGTGAGTCATTTGTGTTGTGGAGAGAGAATTACCCCTGTTCTGTCTGCATCAGCCATTTGATAGTGTCCTGATCTACTGTACGGGCTGCCGGGGGGGGGGGGGGCGCCAACTCAAAGCCCCGGCTCTGTCTGCAAACGCAATCTGACCACAAAAAACTCTAAAGATGTGCATCTGAACTTCACTTTGTTGCTCTGTGATGTACTGTATGTTTTTCCTGACAGCATCAAATGCATCACTGGCTTAACAAAGACGAGCTCATAAATATCCCTCAGACAGTGGATTTGATAAGGACATGTCATTAATTTAAAATGATTTCTAATGATGAGGACTTAGAACAGAAGTCATTCTGTGGTTGTTCCACTTTTTTTCATGACACTAAGAACGACTTTACAAATGTTTTGCACTTTTCTTTTTACTTGTAACACAAGCGCCCTTTTCAAGTCAGGCAGAACTCATCCAATGGCTTCAGTAAACAGTTACATTAACTATTTGCTAAATTCTTGGTTTAATTCCTGTTTATTTGCCCTGTCATAAAATAGACCAAAAGGCAAGTTTCAAGATAAATTACAGAGAAAAAAAACTTTGCCGCAACAAGATGGGAGCCAATTATAACTCCATACCCACAAAGAGACTGAACCCCCGCAAATATTCTGAATTCATGAAAGATGTGTTCAAGAATACAAATCACGCACACAACTTTCATGAGAGCTTCACAAAGCGCCACAATGCTGTGTCATCTGATCATAAAAGATCACTTTCATGTCTGAATACCAGACTTTGCTACAGTAGAAACGCCAATAAAATAAGCAGCATATCCCAATTGAAAATGCAACTTTCCTGATCCCTCTCCAGTTAACACCACTTTGTTTCTAATGCTCTGAAAACAGCCTGGAGGCTCTCCAGATGCAACCCACTGGGGTTAAGTGCTCAAATGAATGACTGCAAACTAAGAAACAAAAATGTTCCACTGTGAGCATTGACTTTGTTATAAATATAGTGGGGTAAAGTAATAGCTTTACCAGTGAACAACACAGGGTCAATTAAAGCTGACCTAAGTAATTAATCTGATAACAGCTTTTATTTCCAGTTATCCATCTCTTGGATGCCAATGCTGTATAAAATCTCCTGTTGGAATAGGTGGAACCTTTGGTATATTTTTTACAATCTGCTTTAAAGATAATAAAACTTTCATCTTATATTTCAAGGTGAACAAAGTGAATTCACACAGAAAAGCAGATAGGCGGCTTCCTTTTTTAACCCAAAGATAATAAGCAAACTATAGTGCTTCCTGAAAGGTAGTTCTGTACGATAACAGCTTCTCTGTGCCATCTGATGTGTATTCACTGATGGATTAGATGCTTTAGGGACTGGAACAAGGCAGTGTTCCACAGGACTGGGACTTTCCCCTGAGTCAGGCTGAAATTGGAGAGATGTTGTAGAATCAAATTTAGCTGTTCTGCATAGGCCTTCATGAGTAGAGCCGATACTATCTGGATCTGCAGTCCGTCGAGCTGTTTCTACTAGGGATGTAAATCTCAGCCACAGAGGCTGATTCTCAACACGCTGCCAGTGAGGCCATACATTAATGATACAGTAAATCCCTGCTGGTACCATAGGATAAGATACCATTCAACCCTGCTCATAGTACGGAATCATTCATTATCATTTCCACAACAACGTGACTTACAATTAGCAGGGTACCACATAAGATATGTTGTAAAGTGGATGAGGATCTTCTCAAATGGCACAGCTTCCAAACAGAAAAATCTTGATCATCTTGAAATTATTTGAAATATTGTATCAATTGGAACGACATTGTAATTCCGAGTAGAGAAGTAAGAAATGCTAACTGCCATTTTGCTGTAGGATATACATTTTACAAAGCAGGTTTATTTTTTTCATTCTGTAGCAAAGCCCAACACAAGAGGGCACGAGATGCATGCAAATCCCAAATGTCAAGTGGACAAGAGATATTAAATGAACCTTATGTTGCAGCAGATGTGCCATATACAGAGTCATTACTGCAGCTCAAGTATATTTAATGGAGCTTTAGATGCAGAGCAGCTGCAATTATGCAAATACACAACAGCCAAGCCGTTATTATTCTGACTCAACTATCAAGTCCTATGAATTGTCAGCATGCACAGACATAGTGGGCATATGTTGTACACAGACGTGCTATACGTCAGTGCACTGCTACCAGCACTGCTACCAGGCCCAAGCTCCTGGGACAACCTTATTCCACCGTTTTAATGAAAAAATCTGTCAACAAATTTTGGATATGCACACCGACTGTTCAGACTGTCTGCAACCAGACATGTATTTACTATCCAATGCTTGTTATTGTTGACATATGTAGTTTTACTCAACCAAATAAGCAAGAGAGGAATCATGAAAGCATTATAAAGTCAAGTATATTTGGCACCTCTTGGTTGATTTATTTCCCCTTGTTTCCATCATCTGTTTATAGCCCTGACTAAATTCCACCTTTAACAATGCAAAGATGCCACAAACTGTGTCTAATATATAATGTATGACTGGACTGTACTTTACATACACTCTGAAAACTGCATAATTCACAAACTTCATGACACATGTATCCACATGTATCTCCACTTTGCAACTGTGAAAGTTAACTGGGCATCATCTCACCAGCCAACACCGTCTTGATCCTAGCTGTGAGGTCAAGAGTAACCCAGATGTTCCTCTGTGTCGTATCTGTTTGACCGCTGCACAACTGCTCCTAAACTGAGACCTCTGTTAAATAACACACGTTGGCTTCAGAACCTGTCATAAGATGGGTTGTTGGGTTGCATGGCACTGTTTCTGGAAGAAGTTGGATGCAGAAAAGGACTTGGATCACAGGCTTTGGATAGACAGTGGAAATCAACCATTTTATCTCCACCTGGTAGGTTTCTTTGCAGAATCTCTCGGTTTGTCACCCCTATTGTGGAGTTCAGTGTAGATTAGTTACTGTTTATGGACACTAAATCAATGAGGTTATACACTGTAGTGTAATTAAAACTTTTCAGAAACTCCCTTGATGGGGACTTGTCACACACGTGTGTGCCGTTTGACACGTAATGGCTGCCTCCGTCACCTGCTGAGGATTTATGAGAGCTCCACAAACAAGTGTTTAGGCGGTTCAGATGCCAACTTGTTTTTCTCTCATGTGTGTTTTGAAGACTGAAAGCAGGTAAATACAGTATTGGTTGGGCATGTCAAGCACCACCATGCTTCACTAATGGTAGAGTAGACTGAGAAGCTGCCTTTGACAGGAAAATTATAAGTAAGACTGTAAGACAGCCTGTAATTTCCATAGTAATTTTACTGTATGGATCAGGTAATTTTCTTTAATCTTAAAAGTCTTCCACAGGTAGTTAAATGGAGGGGCACGTAACCAACAAGAATAAGCATGATTAGAATTAAATTATGTCTCTACAAAATGAGTATAAGCATATTTTTTTAGACATTTTGTGCAGTAATTAAAATAATATCCACACAAACACCTATTTCCTCACAACCAGTGTCAGAATCAGGATGAAGATGTTGGGTTTTAAACCAGACACTTGACAGACAGATTGTATCAGCTTGATGTTGCTAGCTGCCATAAAATAGTGGGATTCAAGCTTTAAGAACCAAAGTATTTAAATCACTTTTAAAAGAAAGATTTATCCCATCAATGTATGCCCTTTATTCAGAAAACTTTAGACAAAATCATAGATGCAGATGCTGTCTGTACAATTTCTGAAAAATGTTGTATACCTGGTGGAGGAATGGCACATTCCTGAAATATCATCCATGCATAAGATTTTAAAGAAAATGTTCAAGCTTTTTTGTTTTTGCTGATGGAGAAAAATCATTGTAAAGTAACTGTCGATGATTTATCTCCCCCCAAATCCATCTGCAGCCCTTTTAATTTCATTTAATCTAAATGAAAGTATCGCTTATAGTTTGAGAGATGAAAAAGTCTCAGCAATATGTTGAAACTGTGGAGTTACATTATTGCAGCTTGTTTTGTGACAAGGTTGAGAAATCTCACCCAGAAAATGATAGAAACATAACTCCAACTCCATGGCCGAAATTCTGGGATTTAGGTCATGGAGTTGGACTTCTAGATTCTCACTGACCCTCTTTTGTCTATTTCAGTAACTCATCAAATGCTTTGTAATGTAATGTATTGCAGACTAAAATCTAAGAAAAATCATCTCCCTATGCATCTCCCCCCCCCCCCCCCCCCACTCACCATAGCCAGGGGGAGGATGGCCTGGATATCACGCTGCACCACTGTCAGCTCCGTCACAACCTTTTCAGAGTCGGGCAGCGGGCTCTGTCCCTTGTAGTCAATGTTCCAGTTGATTCTCCTGGTCACCGAGAGGCTCGTGAAGTTTTCCATCTCGAAATCCAGCTGCATCACCTCGACATTGCCCAAGAAGTCCCTGCCAGTCCACAAACGCACACAAACAAACGCACAAAAATAGAAAAAACTAAATCAAGAGGAAAAACTCATATTTACGAAACATACAGCATATTATAAAAATAGACAGTAGAATAAAGGCATGGTGTATCTGTGAAAACAGAATGCTACTTGACTGGGTATATTTATGATAATAACATTAGCCATGCCATTTAGGGAGCTGCCAACACTCTTGAGATTTCCTCAATTTACCCTTGAGATCAAAAGAGGAATAATGTATTCATAAAAGCCTCAACGTGTGAAGCACCACAGTGGAAAAGTGCACGAGTCCATGGCATGCATGTCATTGGTGCATTTTCAGTTTGCTTTACATTCAAAGTTAGATTTTCATATATGTGGAAGCTGGTCCTTCTGTGGAACTGGATTTACAGTGACCCTACTGGCATAAGTAGCACATCATCTTATTTAATCAATGCTCAGAAGACCTCCACAGACATATGATATAATCTTATATATATAAAAAAAAAAGATTTAAAGTTGCAGTTTGAACCAATATTCGCAAAGTTATCCAGTCAAAAATGTTTGCAAAAAAATAGCATCCAAGTTGGTTTCTACTTTAGTAAGTTATTGCTATGCATCCAGCAAAGCTCGTAGAGGTTGTCAGACACACTTAGTGAGGAAATGTGCTGTAACTGTTCAGTCAGTCAGCAGAGGTATAAACACTCCTCCAGTTTGATGATATTTCAGACATCAGGGCAGTTACATGGCCGCTGACATTGTTGTAGAGCCGGAAAAGGTCACCGCACAGTCATTACAAACTGACAGAGCTGTCTTCCTATTTGGACATCTAACCTTTCACTGGAAAAAAAAAAGAAGTTGTGATGCTTTTTACTGTCAACAAAAAAAGGGGGGAACAGGAAACTGAAATGGACGTCACAATAAAACAGGAAGCAGAAGCTGAGACCAGGTGAGGTAACTGACAGATAACTGAAGATGGAACAAGGATCTGGGAACTAAATAATACAACAAAAACAGACAAGAAAGAACAAACCACTGATGAGAAAATGAACAAAAGCAGAGGAAAAAACTAAGTGGAAACAAAAAGCCAAAGAGGCTGAAGCCTAGAAGTCAGGACTCAAGACGAACAACTCCTCTAAACTTGTGCCATCATTACTATTTAGAAGTCAGACCAAAAGCTGCAACACTAACGCTCAGTCCTTTAAACTAATTCTCAAAGCTCCATCTCTTCTTATTTTGAATATCCCAATCCCACGACAGTGTGGGAGATCATTCAACAAATGCCTTTCTCTGGCTGCTGCAGTCTGAAAAAGGCTCTTTAAACTCTTAGTTAGATTTGAAAAATGTACCCCATCAAGGTAAAAAAAAAAAGATGTAATCTTTTTTCATGTTCAAGGTAATGCTGTGTTTAGAAATGTTATGAGTCATTAAATATTTAGATGTAATTTCATCCAAACTTTAGCATCAGTCACATCCATCAGCGGGACGCTTATGCAACAGACGAGGCTTTGTGTCGGCCATGATGATTAATATCGGCTTTGGAAGTGAAAAAATAAAATTTGACCTTCTAATTGATCTCTTTTTTAATGTTCACAGCACGAGGCTGTGGGAAGGTGGCAGATCTCGTCTTTGTTGAGAAATACCTCACATACAGTGAGTCAATCTGTGATGGTCTGTAAATGAAAAGGCCCTCTCGTCAGTAAACATCCCCCCCTCCCTAATGCTGCAGGCCAGAGCTCTTAGATGTTTCGGGGTGGGAGTGCGGAGCCGCTGCAACGAGCAAGAACATTTGGTTCTGCCTCTCAGTTTCCTATAGGGGAACTTCGGGGGCTGGTTATTGCAGACATTGGGATTATTCTGTCACTCTTTTGTCCTCCACGCAGAGCAAAGATGTTTTGCTTTCACAGTTGGAGTCCCAGAAAGGATCAAAGCTAATGTGGGCTTCTTCTGTGGTAACCTTGCAATCATCCGTTTCAAACATTTAGTTATCCCACTGTTGGTGAATGCTCCCCCACCCCCCGGCCCAGAAGCCTTTAATGGAAGCAGGATCAGGCCGTTTGTGTGATCCTCCCTCCACTAAAGGTTCCCCTCGGGAACATCGGGACGAGATCTCAGCTTATTTGTTTCAACATCAGCGAGTAAAAACAAACACCCCCGCGTGTCTGTCAGGCTGCAGCCATCATCGTGTTGCCCACCAGAGAGGGAGCAGGTACCGCCGCCCCGTGGGGGCCGTGGGCGTGGGGGCCGTGCTCCAAACCCCTCATCTTCCACTGGAGGACATGCTGTCTTTTATTCCAAGTGACAAACTAAATGCTCAAACACCAGCTGAAATAGACGGCATATGCCACTTCTACTTTACATTTGTCAGGGAGGTTGGGTCTTGGTGGAGATGTGGAAAAACAAGGTTTATTGTAACAAAAACACTCATGAAGAGTGAATGTCCAGACAAAGTACAAATCAAGGCTGTGGAAAACTGTGAGCCAAGTATCAAAGCAATAAGTAAACAAGACTGTGGCAAAGTATCAAATTATGATTAACAAAACTGTGACAAAACATGGCTATGACGAAAACTGTGGCTATGGAACAAAAACATGACTATGGCAGTAAAGTGAACAAGGCTGTGACAAACTCAAACCTGAACTGACGTGGGGAGATGAAAGACAACAGACGAAACAAGAAGGACGAAAACGCACTGGCACAGGACATGGGAAACAGGACTATTTAAACACATGAGGGAGGGGAACCCCAGGTGAACACAATAGGTAATCAACACATGACAACACACCAGACATTCCCCCAGACATGACAACATTGGCTTCAAGAACCTAGAGCTAAATATATCAAAATGAGTCAATGCTATCTGGAATAACACAACATAAATCAATTAGGTTATGGTAAATCATAATCTTATATAGAGTAACCTCTGGTGTGTTCTTTCCTTTTTGGGGCTTTCTGGTAATGACATATATTATCAATTATTTTGATAAAAAAGGTCATCCTATAAATAGCTATTCACATTTTTTGTGTCTAAGTCCTAGTTCCAAAAGCAAGACAAAACCAAACTAGTCTTAAGAAATCATTTAAGGAAACAGGGGAAATATCTAAAGTACCAGGATATTTTATTTTACGGTATGTTATGGAACATGTCTGATATTTGACAACTAGTAGAACACCAGCATCAATGACCAGCAAACGAGGCCTTTTGTCTAACAAGCCGTCATCAAGAATTAAATGAGTGATTTTAAACAAAAAAGCTGCAGAAAGCCCGATCTCGTCTCCATGAAGTTAGACATCTAGTGTGTGTACGGGACAAAGTGTATATCCCAAAGCCTACCTTTGGGATTTTCCAGAGCTAGGAGGGATTTTATTCTTTGATCAGAGGTCTGTTTGAACTGATTAACATGGAGAGTTCAAGGGATCAAAGCTCGGCGAGATTCAACATCAGAGGAATAAAAATGGCAAACAAAGAGGTGAAAATGGAACATGGTTAGGTGTGTGGTACCTCTACAACAGGAGGCCCATAATCTGACTACGGCTTTTCAAAGCCAACGTCACAGAGCTAGAGCTGTCCACAAGCAGGAAGGTAAACCACGATAACATATAGTAAATATTATTTTTCTTTAAATCACCAAACATACATACTTTTGAATTATAATATTTGAATGAATAATTCAATCTATATAATCTAAATTTAGAAAATCTAAATAAAGTCTCAAATTTATATACTTTAAAGCATATAAATCTATTCTTTCACATTGATGACATATGAACATGGCAAGGGCTTTTTAAATAAAACATAATTCTCATCTATGTGTTGTAAATAAAACTTTGAGTGTAGAAATTCTTACGAAAAGATGTATGAACATGACTGATTGAAGCACAAATTTGTTTTAGTTTCTAGGGCAAGGGTCTTTTTTTTAGGGTTTTCTTAGTGTTTATGAAAAAAGCCAATAATCTTCACATCGTTCACGTGGCTGTGACATTAATAATCTCACACAATGTTCAGTATCATCTCTTCCCAGGTGAGTCACTGGGAGCCGTGCACTGGTTTCTGTCCCGACTCCAGACAGATGGTGACAGGCAAAATACACATACTGAAAAAATTCACCACTTTTTCTAACTTTAATCTGATGAGAGACTCTCAGCACACGGAGAAAAATAATAAAGCGAAGAGGATGATGAAGAGATCAGGGAGACACGCAGAGGGGAGAACGGTCACTTTGTTTCCTCAGTGATTAGAAGTGAGCAAAACCAGATGTTCAACTGTAATCAGCAGGCTGCTGTTTTCATCAGCGAGATGCTAACAGATGCAGATCTGTGCACCTTGGACTGACTCGGGCTGGATATTTGGTGTGTGTGTGTGTGTGTGTGTGTCTGTGGGGGGGGTAGAGGGCTAACAGTTATTTGCACTTTAATCTAGCACAAACAACCAACAACAATGGCTGAACTTACAAACCACATTCAAATGCTCCTTCTTACTTAATTTAATGGGGTAATTACACAGAAAATTGTTTGGAGAATGAATGTGGTTTTGGTTCATTACAGGAACACTGCGAGCCTTATACTGATCCATGTTTATTTCTGATCTGAGGGGGGTTCTTTCAGCATCCAGCTAATCTCTTTAGGGTCATAAAGCAAATGAAAATGAGCAAATGGAAGGACACATTAAATGGTTAAAAATGTAACTGATACCCAAACAGGGGAATCATTCAAGCATGAAAATACATACATGTCAAATAAATACATGTCAAATATTTTGTAATTTTTTATTTCATTTCAGTGTTTAATCTTTTAGGATGAATAAGCCAGACATCATCAGACAGATGACATCAGCCTTTATTAGTTAAATCTTCCTCTGAGGATAGTAATTTATTTAACACTGAGGTTACTCTTTAAAAGTCAAACAGTATATATTAGTATTAAACCATTCAAATGCTTTGAATTAAAGAAAAGGGTTAAAGCAGGGAGTGGAACTACCACTACACTGATCAGAAGAACTGATTAGTGACTAAATTGGATTCTGTGTGGAAAAGTTATGTGGTGATGGAGGTTTACTGGATCAATCAGAGCAGGAAAACATTTTTGCTACAGCACTGCACAGCATGCCAACAGCACGCCTCGAAACAGTCCGCACAAATCACACTCCTCCAGACCCCCCCAAAACCTCAGCTCTCACCATCGTCATTAGCCCAAGTTGCTACTTTTTTGTTGATCTGTTTTTGCTTTTGTTGTGTATATGTGACACACTTAGCTGAAATACTTCATATAAAGAAAAAAAGATGAACGACTGCTCTCACAACCAGGACAATAACTGCAGAAAGCTTTTTGCCAGTAACTCGCTTGCACTTCAGAAACCTACATTATTATTATACTGATTTACTGCTTAAACCATCATGAATCCTTGAGCTACTTTGGTACAAACTCATACAGGCTGTCCAACAATAGCCAAACATACAAACTATAATCCAATTTCACAACCTTTTCCACATGAAAATCTTGTGCCCAGTGTTTAAAAAAGAATTTCATGCTCATGTGTAATCAATTTGATGGAAATGAAGCATTGAAACATGAAATCTTCCATGGTTTTAGACGCCCATTGTTCAGTTGTTTTGCTTTGAGATGAGCCCAGATATTTTTATTCTGGACAACTGGACATTTCCCTAAATGTTGACAGGGAGGCAGAGATTACACTACATGGGTCACTAAATACCACAAAAAAGGTTACCACTGAGATGTGATGCAGTTTAAAAGTTCTTTCTCAGTTACAGGCAAGTCTGGTATCTTCATCCATCTCCTAAACCTGCAGAGGGTCCAGAGTGGAGGCCAATAGGACGGACAGTGTCTCTGCTCTTTATGAATTATACTAATCACATATCGAATCATGATAGCAGATAAACTTTACTATAAAAAAAATCAATAAGTAAAATACAATTAATCAAACCATTTAAATAATCTCTTAACAACTGCAGTTTCACTATGAAGTGCATTTTCCTATACAATTGATAAAATGGTACCTTAGGCAAGGTAATTGTATAGCACATTTAGTGCACAAGACAGTCCTTTACAATGTGTTTAAAAGCAGAAAGATAAAGAAAATAAAGAAAAATAAGTTCATCCAAATAAAACAATTATTGATTAAATAGGATAAAAGTGAAAAGTACAGATAAATTACCTTCAGTTGTCAGCTACACAGTTAAATAGAACAGTTTTCAGTTTTTGCTTTTAAAGATCCAGATTTTAGGAGCAGAAAACTGAAATGAAGCCTCCCCTTATTAGATTTCTAAGACCGGGTTTAGACTTTATTCCTCTCACTCTGGAACATTTTCAGATGGTAAAAGGCTGCTGATTTCAGCAGATTTCGGTTTTGTCTGAGTTTAACTGGAGAAAGTTGTTCTGCATCCACAAACGGATCCGTTCAATACAGCGACGCTCAAAGACATGTTAATGCCGGCAGTCAGAGTAAAAAAAACACTTCATTCCACATCAAATAACATTTAGTTAGATGCACTGAGATCAAGCCGATCTTTTATGTAACTTTAAAGGGGAGGTTTTGGATGGAAGTTACTTAATCAGTCCATTTCATTTAGCTTTTAAAGCAATCAGTGAACTGTGGCTGATGTGGGGGGAGCAGACACGGTGGGCTGTGTGTAGCCGGAGCCGACACCAGCAGGTGTGTGTCCAGCAGGTGTGTGTTGACTGACCCCTGCCGGGCTCCTTTGCTCTTGTTGACGTCGATGGTGGTGATGGAGTGCTTGGCGCCGGACTGCACCTCCCAGTCCACCTTCCACTGGGCGTTCTTCGACTTGGTCTGCAGCAGGTTCACCCCCTTTTTAGCTTTGACCCTGCAGGAAATAGAGAGGAGACAAGAGAATGGGACGAGTCAATTTAAGAGTGGGATGATTTATGTGGCGGGTCAGAGGTGGACGCCCTCAGTGGGCCGCAGACCTCCTCTCTGTGTTGCATCACGGCTAAAGCGGTTCAACAGACCAATCAATAACGGAGACAAATGAAGACGGCAGCCCGGTGATACATGAGAGCAGCGGGCTGAGACGGCTGCAGGTCAGTGTTCACCACCGCCTCCTACCAAATCAAATCTGCAAAGTTTAACAATGAACCCCCGGGCCTTTAAGTGGCAGTGAGTGGTCACATGTACAACTCCCATTCACGCTTTCACAGCACTCCCACAAAGCTGAGTTACAGTTACAATTCATTTTCAGGCCATTAAAACATTTTCAAGTTTTTGGAGTTGAAAATGAGCGAGTTTGAGGAGAGATCTTCCTTCCTTAACCCTCAGCCCCTCAGGAGGAATACCCTATATCCTGTATTCAGGGGGGTCAAGGTTACCGACAGGAAATGAGCCCTGCAGCTGAGCCAGACTTTTTTTTTATTCAGTAGTGCAGTAAAGTGAACATTTAAAATGTTTTATTGCCACAAATAAGCCTTTTTTCAGATTATTTAAACAATTCCTGTCAGAATATACAACATTAAAACATAACTATAATGTTTGCCTACATCCACCCTTAGTGTTGTTATAAATCTAAACACACATGCAAAGATACACCGACCAATTTCTGCATACACAAACATGTTCTGTTCATTCATGAGTTTGCAGATATTTGTCATGTGAACGGACTAGATCAAAGCATACGCAGATACATCACAGACTCATCCTAAAACACAGATCTGTGGCTTCACAGATTACAACACTTTTGTGTTGCATCCAAATAAATCCAGACATCAGCTCCCACTCGGTGCATGTTCACATGCGTATAGCAAACCTTGGAAGAGGAGAGGGAACATTTTGATCAGCAAACAAATATTTACATATGTACATATGTTTATATACATGTTCATCTATCCATCTGTTTACAGTTTCCTGTGTTTAACTGAGAATATTTGATTAATCTTGTTCATGAAACATTTATGGCAATGCAGAAAGCCGTTCTGAGACATCTAGCTGCAGTAAGCCGATTTTCCATTTTCCCGCATTTCTCTATCAAAACTAAATGGAGTTGAAAACATTGTATGATAATTTAAGGCAGACGTCCTCTCTGACTTTAGTGAGACATGCTATTAAGGTGTCCACTGACAGAAAGCCAGACAGCCGGGGGGGAAATGAGAGCTCTGTGTACGCAACGGCTGGTTTTGGTTATTGACCACAGAGCCACACCCAAATGCCAATAAAGAGGCAGTGGAGATTATCGATTCCATGGTTTCATTTTTCATGAAATACAAGACAGAAAAAAATCATTAAACTATTTGGTTCCTGCTGGCCTGCTAGCTTTGTCTTTCTTCTGATGTTTACTAGCCACAATCTTAGATTGCAAATCACACTCAGGTGGAGAGTGTCAGCGGTGACCACTCTGTCTGTGACAGTCAAAGGCATTACTCACTATTCTCTAGCAGAGCCTACTAATGGAACTTAATGGCTTTTTCTGGTTGACAAAAAGTTGTTTTTCTCTTCAGATCACCGTGTTTCTTCTGTGACAAACAACTGCTTTTTTCAGGCAAACTCTTTGAACATCGTCTAAATCACATTTTCTCTTCCACTCATGTGAAACTTAAAGGCCTTTTGCTAAATCTAACCATCTGTTGAATTTATTTCTTAGGAGATACTTTTACTATCACAAGTATTACACAGAGATGGAAACATTAAATCTAATTTATTTACTAAATAGGTAGAACATTAATATGAAGAAAAGGCTGTGCACACTAGTCTGGGAAGGAAGGGGCGCGGCATCCTTTACAACTTTAATAATATTCTCTTATCCTGCACACAAGCAATTTCATACATAACGCCACCTTTTAAAAACACTAAGCTTTCTTTTCAAAAATGAAATTTGTCTTTAAAGTTGGAGGAAAAACACATTGAATTTCAGGTGTGGCCCAAAAACTGCCACTGTTGGAGTAGGCCGAATGTTTCCACTCCTGGCTCTTTATTACTGATGGATGCTCAAATCCCTCACATGAAAGGTGGAGGTGGACAGACCTGGTAAAAGCTAGGTATTATCTGTATAAAGTTTCAAAGCTTTCAGGGGTGAAAGTATCACATAAAAACAATGACTGGACAGAAGCCTGACAACTGAGAACTGAAGTAAAAGCTGCTGATAATCTTGTGATCTACAAAAGCTCCATCATTCACAAGCATTGACATGATATTTCCAGAAAAGCACGGTCGCAAGCCAAGCAGAAATTTGTATCCCTCGAAAGCACCAGTTGCCTACTCGGGAATCCCATGACAAAGAAACAGCTGAATCGAATTTGTATTTACACTGACCCAATCCCAGACTCAAGCTGACCACAAGAAAAAAGCCTTTAGTTTTCCATCCCAAACAGACTACAACTAAAAGGGATTCTCACGCCAACTGTTGGGATTCTCCACTCCTTTTTGCATCGTTCTTTATCGTCATTGCAGCTTTTATTCGTTTTTGTTTTTTCATCAAATCTCTCGCATTTGAAAATCGACAGGAATTATCTAAAACAGCGGAAGATGAAAGAGAATCATGTCACGTCTGAGGAGTCCTCCTGATCTCGTGGCACTGCCTTTGATGTGGGTTGAAGAGGGAAAATGTAATATCCTCAGACAATCACTAAATGAGGTGACCCAGTTGCTACTTGATTACTGTAGCTTACAAAAAACAGACAATAAAAGATGATTATTGCACATTATTGTAGGGCATAACCATTTCCACTGTGTTTCCTAAGTCAGGATGCAACCCTGACGCGCAATGCTTGTATTTGTATTCATTACCTCTGCTCATCAGCCGCTTATAAAAGCCACTAAATATTCATCATCATCTTTTGAGAGATCCTGCATTGAACCAATGCTTTTAATCAGACAGGCCTTTTCACAGACTCTGCTTCGTTTTTTGCATGGCAAATGAGCGGGGATGGAGCCCTCCCCATGGGAACGCCACATGAATCGGGCTCCCCATGGAACTATGTTAATGCTGATTAATGAAAGAGCATCGCTAATGTCAAAGCAGCAAAAACACACGCCCCGATTCTCAGAATCTCTGCAGGTCCTGCGGCTACTCCTACGCAGGCAGAGTGGAGAGGCAGTGTGAGGCACTTGAGCGAAGACGGCGCTATTACTTACTCATTCCACACAGAAGCCCTCTGCCATGGCAACACCTTCAGACCGCGCCGGCTGACGGACTGCTAAACAGGAAGGCTTTTGGTCAACACGTTCCAAGACAGATTCCTGAGCTGCCATTGGCATTATTAAGCTTTTTATTGTCTTGAAACCTGAAATGACCACCGCATACTGTGACCTGTGATCAATGCCACGGGGCTTTGGAGTATGGAGGTGGGGGGGGGGGAGCAACACAGTCCTGAACACACGCTGAACACATCAGCCTCACAGTCTGAAATAATGGTTTAACAGTGCTCTTAATTAGTCTTTGACATTTGCATCTTCCCCTTCAATTGTGACCCGTTTGTGCGAATGACCCTGTTCCAACACTGGTCCCGGGAATCATGTCAACTGATTTGCCACGCTGAACAATTTAATCTAACGGCAGCTGCTCTTAGTAAATAAAATATGCAAACTGGTGCTGAAGTGAGTCACAGCTCTCCAGTCTCTCACTTTTCCATAATGGCCCTCTGAAAGGGCATTTGTCAAAGACAGTGGAAGAGGCTGCCTGAACTGGTAGAGCAAGTAAAAAAAAAACAAAAACAACAAAACACTTTCCATTAAAAAAAGAAGAAGACTGTAATCACTTCAAATCTCTGGAGTGTGATGCATTTTTGTAGCTCTGAATGGGGTGTTCTCAATGTTAATTCCAAAAGGGTAATTTGACACACATCAGACCAAAGAGTCTATAAAGCAGCGAGGAGGTGCCAATTTATGGGGCAAACATGATAAAAGCGCGGCCCCTGCAGGGACAGGAGCATAAAATGCCACGTGCGTCATCAAGAGCCGATGTTTGGTAGTTAACAGACACAGAGAGTATCAGGGATTTATGCCGTTTTATGTGTGATGAGGCATCAGCATGTTTCAGTGCACGCATGCTGATCCTTTAAAGTTGGCCAGTGTGGAGAGCAGGAACTCACCCATCTGTACCCAGTCAAGTGCTCCAGGTCAGATGCTTCCCTTCGGAGAGCAAGATATTGACCTACTTGCATTTTTTGATTAGAATGTGTACGTGTGAGAAGAGATCAGTCCGAACATGGAAAACGACAAGATACAATAAATCCAGGTTTTTGTGTTTCTTCTGTAGAATTATAGAAGAAATATGTTTCATTCTGGGAGCCCATTAGCCATAATCTACACTCTCATTCATTGTCTCATAATCTTGACCAGAGGATGCTTTTTCCTGTATGTTTTAGATTTAACGTACAAAACACAAAAGCTATTACCCAATAAGTCTATGCTTCTAGGGTATATATATATATATATATAGTTCAGTTCAGTTTATTCGAACAACAAAACAATATAAGATGTGTAAATACAACACAACACAATGAATACATAAACCATAATAAATTGTTCGAAAAGGAATGGGACGAAGTATAAACTTTTATAATATAATATATACACACACACATACATACATACACCATGTCACCTCAGTACCTTAAAGCTGAGCAAACAGCATATTTGCTGTTTATATCAGTATCTCACACCAGCTCTTGTCCACACCAATTCTGGTTTAAACCACTAGCTTGGACTTATCGCTTTATTTATTCTATCGAGGATCAGTGGAATTCCAAGTCAATGGAAAATGTAAACAAAGCAGTTTTGGAAAACTAACCCCACCTCTGCACAGCAGAGACTTCTGTGAGATTTAAAGGAAATTGGAAGTTAAGAATGACTCCTACCTGTGTTCCTCTTTAAAGTAAGAGCTCCCCATTACCTCTGATATTTACACATCCAGGTGCAAATTTTCCTCTCTTTTTCATGATTCTTTGGACCACTGTGAACAGCAGTTAATAACATTAAACTGGATACCATCAATTGAATTTTCTCCTGTCGGCCATATTTCCTCCAGAGGCGGCTCCAGGGCCTCACATCTCACTTACTCTCCATAAGTACAGCCATAACTACTTATACATTTCCTTGGCACGTTGCTTTCTGTAGACCCCAGCTATTCTGTGACAAACCGTTCCTCCCCTCGGAACATGAGCAGTAATCTCATCAATCATCTCAAACACTTTGATATCTCTGATGTGCATCTTCCCGGGTAAACAGCTTTGAGCTCTTCTCGGCTCCATCACAGAGACATGCAGCTGGAGCCGGCCTGCCAGGAACAGGCTTTTTACACTTTATTTATTTATTTGCTTAATAGGAGGCTCCATTAGTTGGAATAGGAGAAGTCGGGGGAAATATCACAGCGCAGATAACAAATTTGAACCTGCAGCTGCTGGTGTGCACACGCTGAGTCAATCTATCCTCTGTGTGGGAAATGACTAATGCGCTGTGTGCACGATAAATACCAAACCGCCAACAACAGAGCAGTCCTCCCTGTAAAACCCACATTATTTTGTGACACAACAAACAGACAAAATCTCCCAAAGAATGCTTTTCAAATAAACCAGCAGCACTTTCGGGGCTCTAATTAATATGAATCAAGAAACCAAGATTCTAATGAGATAGATAGAGTAACATTTCAGTAAACGTGAAGAGTAAAAGTAGAATTTTAAAACTGCTTTGTCATTTTCTAGGTCAACGTAAAGAAAATGCTATCTTTTGGATATTCTTTCAACATCTGGAAATACTTGCAGTCAATCAGAACTTTAGTCACCTGTGGAGAGCAGGATTGAATCAAAGATTGGGAGAAATAGAACAACAGGCACTGATCCAGTCATGGACGAGCTGTGAATGGGATTTAGATGGAAGCGAATCATCAGCAGAATCCAAGATTTCACTCTATTTACTGTGTTGTATAAGAGTATTTAAGAGACAGAAACACAACATCCAGCACTAAAGACTGAAAGTACAAAACCCAGAAGAAATACAGAAGGAACCTCGCCTTCATGAGAAAAAACATTAAATGATTGATATACTCTGACAAATAAACAAGAAAAACGTAAGGAAAAAATTCAAAATCATAGACTCAACTATAACTAAGGGTGAAAGGCATATTTAAATTAAGGGTAATGCGTTAAATAATGAATGTATGTACATCTCTGATGTTCGTGAGAGAAAAGAAGTGGGCTGGTAGAGCATTTTTGCTCTCTTCTGACCAGAAGTTTAAGCAATACATTTGTGTTGTGGAGCTCCAAATTACAGTAGCATCGTTAGCTGGAATGTTTGTTTTAGTATGAATTGGCCAAAGAAATAAATTTATGTCTGCAGAATCAACACACTGATGCTCTTTTCCTAATGACAAAACCCACAAACATAGATGTTTTTGTCCAAAGTAAAACCTTTGATGTAAAATAAAATCTGTGCATCTGCTGGCATGAACTCATCAATGAAATAATCAAAAACACATTATGACATAATGATAAAGAGTCTCAAGAGGCTCTGCTAAAGTTTTGTGTTACTGTTACATGTTAAAGTCCTGCATGTTACAAAGTGCATGCATACAAAGTTACTTTTTCTCACCATTGACTTCTTTGCAATGCAGTTTTCCTTAATTCAATGTCGCTGTCGCTAATACATTTATAAACTGCATAGAGGCTGGAACACTTCAGTTCAAACCAGAACACATCGGGCCTTTTAGGAGGTGAACATAAAAGGAACAGGAACATACGTGATTCCTGTCAGAGAGCAGGTGCTGAAGCACTGTTTAACAGGGAAAAGAATGTACACTATAAAGTATATACAACTTTTTCTAGTCGGCCACCAAAAAAGAATTATGAACCTTTAAATGAGTTTAATGTGGGTTCAATAAAACTCTCCACTCATCCCTAGAGCATGTACTAGCTGATATTACAGCTGCAGAGAGTGTGAGTGAAAGCTTATACCGGGCCTCGGGGACAGAAAAGCATTATATATATTGTGATACTGCATGCCTAAAGATGGGCATTAGCTTTCTGTTTCATCACCACACTGTCAAGCGGCCTCATCTCGTGGAGATATACACTGGGGAGAGACTTATTTCTCCACGAGAAGAACCACCAGCTGGTCTCCAGCGATTCTCCCACGGTGACTTTGAAGTAGAGATGCTCTCTGTTCTTACCTTAGAAAGCTTGGGGCTTTCTCACTCTGATGACTACTGGTCCTCCTTCATAATAACCCCATCTTACACTAACCAACCATTTTGGGGTGTATATCTAACTCTATATATCCACCTTTCTATACATCTGTATAGATATAATGAAGGAAATGCATGTAAATTAAATAGAAAATGATCAGTGAAAAATCGCCTGAGAAGTCTGAACATAGATTACTTAATAATTGTGTGAATTGTGACATCACACAACCATGCTACTGCCTCATTAGTCCTCATTCTTCCCAAAAGGCAACACACACCACAAGAATAGGCCAAAATTAAACTGCACAAAACCAAACCGCTTTTTAAATCGGCTCTGAAATAGTGATCGTACAATTGGGACCTTTGACCTACAATTATTTTGGAACAGGGATCTAAAACTGATGTTTAAATGTTTCCCTGCTTCCAAACAAATGCAAAGCAGGTAGAGTTGGACCATACACAGACCCAGCCTTCTACAGCGAGCCGACACAATAAACCAGCTCACACGGCTGGTTTGAGTTTCAATACCAGAAAACAGTTATGGTCTCAGAACTCTGGAAGACTCCGGTCATGGGTGAGTTCCTGCAGGAATGTGTGGACCTAACGTGAGAAGGATTAGGTAGATGATTGGAGAATTTGAGGACATCTTGTTTTCTTTTAGCACATTTGGTTATGTAGTCTTTATTATAGAGTTCTTTAATCATTTATGCTGTGCTGTACTTTTACTACCTATATGAGCAGGCTGCAGTTCCTTCAGGGAGTTCCTCCTGTCAGGAAAGGATGGCAAGGAGCTCGCAATAACTTAAGTGAAGTCCAACTCGAGGGAACACAGTTGAATATTTTTTCATTTCTTCACCAGTAACGACAGGTACAGAGTGTCACTGTAAAACTTGCAAAGTTTCTGATTTTGCCTCTCCTGCTCAGACCCCCGACAGCAATGTCCTGGTATCGGCCATATTGGCCGGGTATTTTTTCCTGGAATTGGATCGATACCAAACTTCCAAGTGTCATGGGGCTCTGATAAAGCATTTTGCCCATCTCTGAAGTTACATAAAGATGGTGTTCATTGTGCGAATATGTCGGGCCAAATAAGGACATGTGTAACAGTCAGTGTTGGGTAAGTTACTTTAAAAATGTAATCCGTTACAGTTACACGTTACCTTGTTTAAAATGTAATTGTAGTGTAACTTTTTTGATTACTTTTAAAAAGTAATGTAACTAATTACTTTTGATTACTTTTTGATTACTTTAAGGTTTTAATGAGTATTAACCCATGATTAATTTTAGCATGTTATTATTAGCTATTGGCCGCAGCTAGCAGTTCAAGGCTAACGTCTTGTGAATGAACATAAACAACGTAAATAAATACATAAATAAACCGACGGCAGGTCAGTCGTATCCGGATACAACATTTTAGTATCTATACTTTTTTAAGTATCGATACTTTTGACAACCCTAGTCTGAAATGTAGGACATGTCCGGGAAAAAGAGGAGTTGGGTAGGCTAGGTAGGCTAGGCTAGGCTAGGTCATAGACATCGATAAACGTTTGTCATGCATCAACACCAAACAGTCAAATATTAGTAAATCAATACGCTTCCTCTATCAGTGAGTCGCATATTTTGCAAAAGTTTTTCTTTATATTTTTAAAAAAATGTAACTAAATTTGTAATTCTTAATATTTTCGTCAGTAACTGTAACTCAATTACATATTTTCTCATTGTAACTGTAACGAATTACAGTTACTCTTGTTTTGTAATTAAATTACGTAACGTCGTTACATGTAATCCGTTACTCCCCAACACTGGTAACAGTGTAATAGTTTAAGGTCTGCAGATGGCCTCATCGGATATCTCAGAAGCCACGTCACTATCTTGTGTTCTATGCCACACTAAATGTTAACCCGCCATTCCCGTTTGAGCCTTTTATTGCAGCTCCACTGCAACTCTTGTAAAATTACGAAATGGCAAGACGGAGACCTTCTTCTCAATCCTCCAGGCCCACACAGATTGGATTGTGGCATTTGGCATTTAACCACAGGCTTGTTATGTTGCCGACTGGGAGGTGGTAAACACATATTTGATCATGGCTGACAACAGCACACAGAACCCTGGTAGTGCCACCACTGGTGAACGGGACCCTGACCCTGTCCCTTAAGTGATGCACAGATGTACACACAAACGTAAATAAACAACTAAAATGTCAGCACTTGAATTTCTCTGAGGCATTTGCTCAACTCCCTCTGGCATTGCCACAGAAATGGGGCCTCTGCACGACAGCTAAATTTGGCCGGCGTAGACCTTTTTCCAGCAGCTCCACTGGGCCGAAGCTCCTTTAGCTCCTCTGAGGAGGCACTTTGTAGCCAGATACGCCACTTGTGCTACTGCACACAAAACAAGTTCCATTCTATGAAGGTATGCATTATTCAACTTAAGTGCTGATTTTTATCTGTCCTTGGTCCTTTATGCTGCTTTTATGTGTCCGATGAAATGTACTTCAATTATATTCTCATGTCTAAAGAAGCAATTCAAACAGCAGAAAAGGCTTTTTCTTTTTAAAACTGCAGTGATCTATTAGATCAGCCCAGCACTGACTATAGATATGATGACTTCACCATGCTTCCAGTGTTTGTCACCGTGCTCATTAGTTTTAGATATAGCTTGCTCACTTGAACACAAAATTAAAATGACATTCTGGTTTCAGAGGTGAAGAGAAAAATGGCCTCATCTGAATGTCACCATCTACCAACCAGCAAAAAGGAATTCCTGATTCCTGATTTTTCAGTAAACTCAAACTAAATAAATGTTTTCATTTGCAATATAAATAAGAACAAAACAATTGCCAAAAGGACAGTCTAAGCTTAAGAGCTGGGTGGATTCCTCCTGTGGAGCGCATTCCGGATTCTTTGCACTTCTCGACTCCTCAGAATCAGCTCTGCTAACTCCTACATGAGCACGCAGCCTCCGCACAACAGCTAACACTCTGCGCTCCTAATTAGGCCCCCGCAACCAGAGAGGTGTCACAGTGGATATGAG